TGGATTTAGCTCGCTGCCTGCTGCAGGCAGAGCTGCCTCCTCACCATCTGCGGGGAGAGCGCCCCGGGAAGCCGGTTCCAACGCCCCAGATGGGGAAAGCGATATTCGGGAGTAGCACCATAGTTTCACTCTTGGCTTTTCTGGGAGAGCAAGGAGGGACCACCTTATAGACTGAGCATCAGGAGAGGACCTGGCTGGTGAACACCAGGCTTGCCTTCCCCCTCCAAGAAACAAAAGATGCCTACCTGATGAGGTTCAACAAGGGCAGGGTCCTGCACCTGGGGAGGAACAACCCCGGGCACCAGTACAGGCTGGGGCGGCCGTGCTGGAGAGCAACTCTGGGAGAGGGACCTGGGTGTCCTGGTGGACGACAGGCTGACCATGAGCCAGCAGCGTGCCCTGGCTGCCAAGAAAGCCAAGGGGATCCTGGGGTGCATCAAGAGAAGTGTGGCCAGGAGGTTGAGGGAGATTATCCTCCTCCTCTGCTCTGCCCTGGGGAGGCCCCGTCTTGAGTGCTGTGTTCAAGCTCTGGGCTCCCCACTTCAAGAAAGATGAGGAACTACTGGAGAGTCCAGTGAAGGGTTACGAAGATGATGAGGGTGTCACCGAAAATCCGGGAATAACACCTCATAACACCAATGTAGTGTTAAAAGGCAGCATTCTTTATTGCAGCGCTGGATGCACGGGGGATAATTCCACCAAGCGTGCATACCCCATACCCTTTTCGTGCAGTTTATACAGATCAAAATATACATATTCATCTGATTACATAAGCCCTTTCTTTCATAGTCAAATCAGTCCATTTTCATACACTCCTCCCACCCGCGCTTGCGCAGTGCCTCCTAGTGGTGGTCGTCGGGGGTCCCAAGATGAAGGCTTATCCTCTTCGTCACAGTTTCTGCGCAAACTCAGTCCTCTTCTGGCTCTTGTCCCTGCGGCACGGGTCGTCTTGACCAGTTCTAGGCACCTGCTGGTTTTAATTGAAACTAACTTCTTTGGGGGGAGATGTATGACTTTTTGCTTCAATTAATTCACACAATAGATAGGTACCACAAATACACCTGCAACCTTTTGGTAACGCTATTTCTATTAAAAATCCCCTTCACCATTATTGTTTAACATTAATGACTACCTAGGGACTAAACCCTCTGTTCCCAGACCTAATGTCCAGATGGGCAGGGCTGTACAAGGGACATAGCAGCATTGTTCGTGTTTTATGATTAACTAATTCCATCACCTCGGTTACATTTCCCCCCTTTGGAAGTTTTGAAATAATTCTCTTTTCAATACTTCCATAATTACATTTTTCTTAATCATATAATAATTAAATATTATTATAATATTTTTTTCAGAATCACAACACTACACTTATAGTCCACTTGTTTCGCTATAGGGTGGTGGAAGTGTAACAACCGACTCACTAAGGTTTTGTCTTCTTGCAATAGCCTGAATAATCATTCGATTAAAAGCTGTTCTGCTGGTGAGTTCCTTTTTCAGACAATAAGTGGGGCTCCTCTGTGTGGGGGTCTCGCTGCCCCTGCCCACGCCGCAGCCCCGGCACCGCAGACTCTGTGCTCAGGTGACCACAGGGCAGGGCACAGGGCCACCCTGCCAGCTACAAACCCGCTCTGCCTTCCCGTGGGTCAGACCCGGGCAGACTGCCCCACAGGTCCCCGAGCTGCTCACACCATCACCTTGGCCACAAACCAGCTTCACCGTCCCCCGGCTTCCCGCACCTGACTCAGAGCACAAAACCCTGTGCCAGGGTACCTCCGGGGCTTGGAGCCAACCCCAGCTCCCGCAGGGCTCTGCCCTTCCAGGAGGCAGCCGCAGCCAAATAGAGATTGAAGGGGGAGAGAAGAAAAACATAAAAGACCCCGAGATGCATGGGCAAGCAGACAGCTTCACCGCTCGTGCCAGCGCTCTCCATTGCCTTCCCACTCTGCATGAAATCCCGCAGCAGAGCCCACCGCGCTGCTGTTGAAGCCAGGCGACGTCTTGCCATCGGCCTCAAGGCCAGCAGGGCTGTGCCCCACGGCACAGCATCGGGGAGCCGGACGCACGAGACTCCCCGAAGCATGTGGGAAGCCTCCCAGGACACACGCTGCTACACCCATCGGCACGGGCTGCCAGCGTGGGCTCAGCACTGCCCTGGCTCTGCCAGCACCGGCCCCACAGCCCTGCCTCCGCCCCAGTGCTTACCTGGGGCTTCCCCCGTGGGTTCGTCCCCCATTTCCAGCTCAGGCTCGTGCCCAGGGTCCATC